TCTTGTAAAAAACCTACAAGTAAATATACCTTTCCTTTTCTTCATCCTATTCCAAATGAAATTCAAGCTGTACCCTTGAATAATCGAATATTTTTATCTCCAGTATTCATGCATTGTTCTTTAGAAAGAAATTCAGGACATAGCGCAATATATACAGAATATAAAACTCTAATTGGAATAATGAATTTTTCAAAAAACATACGTTCTTTGATCTTATATTCTAGAATAATTAGTGCCTATCTTGAAGATAATTCAAATAATTCTAATATTTGGCTTAATAATACTTTAATTCATGCCGCCAATTGGTTGAAACAAAATAATCCATTTTTAAAAAATTACTCTCGCCTTTTAAATTCACCTGATTCTCAAATTGCCAATCCTTTTCCAAAAGCTTTTCATCTATCTGACGATGATTCTGCCCCACCCTTTTTATCTAATAATATTGTAGTCCTAAATATTAATTTTAATACTGAAATTCACAATGAAGATTATCATTATTCACATTTAATGGTAGGATTTGTCAGAACTCCAAACAATACTTTGCTACTAATATCTGTAAATGATCCAAATTTGGAAGCTTTATTATTTCCTGATTTATTTCCAGACGGAAAAATACATTATTATCACAATAACCATTCTAGATCAACTTTCGCCCACAAAGAAACCTATTCTAAATATATTAAACAAAGAACACTTAATATTGATTCACGTTTTAGGTTTCATTATAAATGGTTGGCGTGTCATATTTACAATTAGAAAAATTACGCAACCACCAAAATAATCAACATATATGGAGACAACAATAAGCTGACAAAACATATCATCCACTAACTACTGCACAGCTTATTCGAATCTCTAATTATTCTAATAAGCTAATAATAGACGAATCATTAACAACTACCTTACCAACCTTCATTCAAATTGGTGAATCTTATTTTACTGAAAAACAGCATCACGTCAATACAATGATTTCCTCATATGGACTACCTTCAATTTTTCTTACACTGACAATGGCCAAAAGTCATTGGAAACACTTACATAAAATTTTAAAATCAACAGATAACCACCATACAATTCCTACAAACAG